AATGGTGCTGCCTCCATCATGTATTTCCAATCGCGGTTCACATTGCCACAGAGGACAACATTTTAGCATCTCAGTCGTCTCACAGTATCAAATTACAAATGGACACTCAGCGACTCCATCTTTACTCAAATTTTCCATGATTAGGGAGAACTACTCATTGACGTCTTTGCAACAGCAAACAACACAAAGTGCAGTCAATACTGTTCCTGTGCCGGGATTGGCACTGATTCAGTCGGGGATGCCTTCATGATCAATTGGGGAAATCATCTTCTCCACCTATTTCCCCCAACCCCTCTCATCCAAAGAACTGTAATCAGAATTCGCCAATTCCATGCCGATGCAATTCTGATTGCCCCTTTGTGGCCTCAACAACCATGGTTTACACACCTCAAGTCGATGTCCACCACTTTTCTCTGCCTCCCCAACATCCCGAACCTGCTTTCTCAAGATGATGGCAAGATTCATCACCCAGACCTAACGTCCCTCAAACTTACAGCATGGAGGATTCCTCCCCCATAGCAGCCATCATTAGTAAAGCTAAGAAGCCATCCACACAAACTCTTTATAATTATAAATGGAAGTCTTTCTCTACCTATGCTGCCTCTAAAAATCTTTCAGCTTCTCCAACTTTTCTAGATACATTACTTATCTTTTACACCTTTTTAACCTGGGACTCTCTCAAGCCACTCTCAGAGTTTATATCACTGCAATTATAGCTCATCAACCACCAGATGCGGAATCAGAAAAAAAATTCTCATCCAACCTTGAAAAGATTTTTAAAAGGACTTCACAATATTTGCCCTCCACAGCAACCTCCACTTCCTCAGTGGTCTCTCCCAACTGTTCTGAATGCTCTCACCAAACCACCATTTGAACCCATGGCTTCCACTAACTTCAGACTTCTTTCATTAAAGACTCTTTTCCTGGTAGCCATCAACCTATCATCTTACCGTCTCTCTTGCTTTCACTGGCTTCTGATCTTGAGCACATGCGCCACACTTTAGACTCTCGTTGCGCTCTTGCATTCTACATAGAACAAAAACTTTCAGGGCATCTCCTTGACTCTTCCTTTTTTTCATGGACCTCATAAAGGCCCTCCAGCATCATCTCATACCTTGTCTCCATGGATAGTTCAAGCCATCTCCCTGGCTTATGAGCTCACAGGGAAACAGCCTCCTGATACCATTAAGGCCCACCCCACAAGAGCTATGGCTACCTCCACCACATTTCACCACGGAGTGGACGTTTCCAACATCTGTCAGGTGGCCACATGGTCCAATCCATCCACCTTCATCTCATACTACAGACTGGATGCTCGTGCAAAGAATGATGGCCGGTTCGGGAGAACTATACTGACATCCTTTCTTCAGTGACGGCCCACCAACCGGTAAGTGCAGCTTGCTAGTCACCCATTTGTGTGCATTCACAGAGGCCACGAAGAAGAAAGAGAGGTTACCTACCTGTAACCATGGTTTTTTGAGTGGCCCTCTGTGAATTCACACAACCCGCCCATCCTTCCCCTCTGTCTGTCAGTCCATTGTCCTTATCTAACCTTTTTCACAGCAGCAGACTTTGGGAACTGAGAGGACCTTGGGCAGGCAGAGCATGTGCTCCACAGAGGAATGTCCTACTAATCACATGTTTTAAGCTCTAGAAACTTTCAACATGTCCTGCGCAGAAGAACCCAGTTGTGTGCATTCACAGAGGACCACTCGAAGAACCATGGTTACAGGTAAGTAACCTCTCTTTTTTGCAAATAACAGCAACAACTTTATATCATTCTGCATGATAGAGAACTACTGGATAACTCAGTGGTTTCGGCATCTGGCTGCAGAGCCAGAGGGTGGGAGTTGTTTCTTGACTGTGCCTCCTTGACAGGGGCTGGACTCAAATATCCATGTGGTCTCTCCCAATTATGCGCTTCTAAGATTAAGATTAAGAATGTGGCTAACACAGGCAAGTATTTGAAATAAAGTAGACAGAATGCTGGCCTCTTAATTATGATAGCTAACATCCTTATTTAAATTCCCACCCCTAAATCACAAGATGCCAGCTTTACAATCTACTGGTCTGTCTTTCTATCTATCTGTCTTAGTCAAAGAAATCTTGCCATTGTCACTTCTCTAGGATTTCTCCCTTCTTCTTCAATAGCCCGTTCCACTCAGACCAAGGACTAAGCTACCCACTATTTAAAATACACAACAGGTAGTTTATCATCCCTTTATTTGTTACTTACAAATAACCTGGTTCAGGGCCACTATACAAAGTAGGGGTTCAGGGCCTCTTTCCCCCCATAATATCCACAACTCATTCAAAGACTAAAAAGGAGGTGATTCCTTTGAGATGTGCCCACACTTAAAAGAGGGGGGGAGCACCTGCATGAACACATGAAAGAACAGCAGTCAAGGTGTGCTCCATGAAAATTTACTCCATCCAAGAAACTTCTTTATGTAAAGGTTGTTTAAAGATTCGGCACCTCTCCCTGTCAAAAGCCTGCAGTGGCACACAGTAGGACCTCCATATCCACTGGGAATTGGTTCCAAGCCCCCTGTGGATAGTGAAAGCCACGGATAACATGTCAGGAAATTACAAGGCTTGTAACAGAAGAAATCGACATCTTAGACTGAATGTATAAAGGAAGTTGTTAATCAGCCATATTGTACAGCTGTGTATAAAGCTAAGTCATGCTGACTAGGCAGAAGGCTGATGTAAACATATGAGATCACCTAGGATGAGGTAATGTTACCTGATTGGTCATTTGTACTATATAATGTACATAGGGACACACATGTATTGTGGAGAGTTGGAGAATTGCTAGAGGACATTCTGCTGGAGTATTTTGTGAAGACTGTACAAATGTAATATAAAGCTTTGAAGAAGTTATTGTCTCGTGATTTTCTTCTCTGAGAGGACCTTGGAGGCTGGTTGTACCCCTGTTTTCTTCAGCACACTCCAGAAAATTCCTGACATAACAGCAATATATATAAAAGGGAATATTTTCCATGGATATGGATCCTGTAGATACAGGGGTCCTACTGTATTCCCAAATTTACTATAGACTCATTTTCTACAGTAGGCTTTGAAAATTACCTGTTAGGCAGCTGCAGGCGCTAATTCTTCATCATAGTCAGAATCCAATTCTTGCCTAATTCTATCCTTTGCCTCAAGCAAAGAAACACTCAAAATTTCCAAACTTCCATAAATCTATGAATAGCACTTGCAATCTAGGTCCAAGCAGAGATGGGACACTTACCTTCTTTGGACAACAACTTCAGGAATCTTACAGCTAGCACAGCCAAGAGAATCTGGGTGTTGTAAGCCACAAAAAAGTAACTTTTCCCATCTCCAGTTCCAAGCCTTTGTCACAAAAGGTGACAAAAGCAGGCAGTTATGTTTACATTCCTACAAATGTATTGTTCAGCTAGGGCCCCTCCGCACTATCTGATTGCAATTTATAACTGTTTTCACTGTGCATTCTTAATATGAAGCCTCTTTAAAGCCAATGCCATAGTCCTGTGTCTTGTGCAACCAATACTTTCATCTTGAAGAATTTAGGCCAATGAATTTCAAATTATGCTGCTTTTGCACATGCATCACTCCATGGGCCTCTGTCTGTGACCAAGAGCTGTAAGATCAGCTTTGCATACAGCTGCCATTTTCAGTACAGTAATAACTGTTTAACATTTACATAACACTTTCCAAATGTGCAGAGGGCTTTGACTACATGACTTTTGTAATCTTTACAAGATGGAAAGTGTGTACAAGTGAGATCTGAACTGAGGCCTTCTGGTTCATGGGTTAGTCTTGTTGCCATTCTGTCACACTGCCCTAGAAGACAGTGCTTCTGTGTCATGGATATATAATAAAATTAGATGTCATCAAGTCAATTCTAACATGTAGCACCTCTTTCCAGGGCTTTCTAGGTAAGGAATACTCAGAAGGTTTTTTTAAAAAAATCTTTCCCTTCTTCTGGGGTTGCCTTAGGACTGTGCAGCTTGCCCAAGGCTATGCAGGCTGGCTCTTCTCTTGGCATGCACAGTGGATCTGCAGCCAGATACCTAACTGACTGAGCTGTCTAGGCTGCTTATGATAGCTCCATAGAAACCAGAGGCTGCAGTTTCTTCAGCCCTAGCAGCACTAGGGAAGGAGCTGTCCTAGCAGAACTGGCCTTTCTAGGCAAGTGTGAAGAGTACATCTGGTATTGAAAGCTGGCCTTTAAATGTCTGGTCCTACCATCTAGGAATGAGATTTCATAATCATTTAATAAAGAAAGTGATTTTGTGACTGGGTTCATTACAATGAATAGCATAAGTATTTAAACTATGACTTTTACTGAGGACTGCGCTTGGTGCCATGGCAATTTTCCATGTCTAGATGACTGGAGAGGGAAATGCATTTAGATCCATAAGCTATTCAGAGGATCTAGAATCCTCTTCCAGAGTCAGTCACTGAAACATTTCTTTGTGTTACGATTCATGTATGCTATACTGCTGGTGTTGGTTTTCTAATTATTATATTTTCATTGTTTGATTAATTTGTCTTTACCTTACTTTTAACCTCTTCAAATAATTTTTGTAAGTCACCTTCAGTGTGATTTGTCAGTGGAAAGGTGGAGATGCAGAAAATGTCGTTACCATTACCACCAAGAGTTAAAAGGTCCTTGTTACTGCCTTTCTTTTATAGATGCAGAAGCTGTGTAAATGATGAATGGCTTTAGTATACAGATATATTTTTTTGAAGAAAGGGTCCTAAGAAAGGCAAGATCACAATGAGGCACTACCCATTTTAGCAGTATTGGACTCAAAGGACAAGGATCTTGATCCATAATTCTATTTTATGTCTGCCTTGCTTGTAATTCTATGGAAGGCAAAGTCATGAACAGAGAAAATAGATGTAGAGAGATTAGGGAGGCAGAATAGCAGGTTTTTTGCTTGTTTGTTTCTCACAAATAAACTGCATTGTTGTAAAGTTAACTCTCTTTCTTCCCCTGCCTATTGTAGGAATAGAACCGCCAAAAGACAGAACAATTGTCCAAAGACAGCTGCGCAAGATTTCTCTTCCTCTCTACAGTATTCTCTCAGCACTCACTATCCTGGGAATGATCATGGCCAGCGCTTTTTTATTCTTTAACATCAAAAACCGTAATCAGAAGTAAGTAATGTACTTTGCATTTGGGAGGCAGAATGAGGAATACATTTTGTGAGGGCCAGATTCTCTCCAGCCATAACTTGTCAGGGAGGGGCTACATGCCACCAGTGGGAAAGGCCAAGACGATGTAAGTAAGCCCACCACCTCTCTCTCCCTCACCCCTAGCTCTTCCCCCTCTCACACAGCCTTGCCAGAAGTTTGGATTAATTCCATGGAGAGAACATTTGAAATTAGACCCTGTTGATCTCCCACCCTACTTTAGATGGTTGCATTTTATCTGCTTCTCACACCCACCTTCCTTGTGTAAATCCTATAAATTAAGATGGTTAGTATTAAAGAGGTCATGTTGTACTAGATTATAAAGACAGTGGGCATGATCCAGTCAAAATTAATCACTTCTAAAATGACAGACTTAATTTACTGTGGAAGGTGGCCGTTCTATTTCAGAGACTTATTTCTGAGTCAATGTGGGTTGGAACGGGCTGCAGGCTGATTTCAGTGAAATAATTATGTACGTTCTTAAATCTCTTGCATTGAACCTATGTGTCTTAGAAGTGTTTAATTTTGGCTGGATCGTGCCCATTTTTTAAAAAATATTCTGCTTAATTGATGTTACTGTATAATATCTTTGTGTTGGAACATTTTATTAAATCCTTTCATTCTGTTAGATCAAAATTAGTGTTTTCCACTGAGTATTATTAGCATAATCCCCAGCTAATTAAACCACTGTGTAACATATTTAGTATAGGAGATCAAAGACATTTAGCCATAATAATGCTCATCTAAACTTATTTATAAAGCAAGCACATAGATTTGCATATTTCTACAATTCTCTGCTAAAAGCTGCTTCAGTGATCCTGGTTAAGACTTAGGTTGTTTCTCTACAACCATTTTCAGGTGTCAGTGGACTGCAAGGCCACCCAGAACTTCTAAGTCAAAAAGGGACAGTTTAGGTAGCCTTTATATTTATGTTGTTTCTCTGGGATGTGTCTCTCTGTGTGTCTAAGTGTGCATTAGTCCATGCCCAGCAATCATTTCCTGTTTCCAGACATTTTATCATGGGGCATGCACTGCAGTTCTATGCTATGACAAGCACGCACATATAAGTTTATTGCGTGGCACGCAGGCCATTGCAAAGTACATCAAATAAAAACATTATAGTACAGTACAATTCAATACACTATAGTATGAGGGGGGAAAGGTAAAGGTAAAGGTTCCCCTTGACAATTTTTGTCCAGTCGTGTTCGACTCTAGAGGGCGGTGCTCATCCCCGTTTCCAAGCCATAGAGCCAGCGTTTGTCCGAAGACAATCTTCTGTGGTCACATGGCCAGTGCGACTTAGACACGGAACGCTGTTACCTTTCCACCGAAGTGGTCCCTATTTATCTACTTGCATTTGCATGCTTTTGAACCGCTAGGTTGGCGGGAGCTGGGACAAGCGACGGGCGCTCACTCCGTCGCGTGGATTTGATCTTACGACTGCTTGGTCTTCTGACCCTGCAGCACAGGCTTCCGCGGTTTAGCCCGCAGCGCCACCACGTCCCTGCATGAGGGGGAAACCTCAAATCAAGTTAGATTTCCATCACAGCTAAAAACCTCTAATGTCTGCAATAAAATAAAATAAAAGAACCTTAAGGAAAACTAAGTGAAGGCAGTTGGTAGGCAGTATCTGATGCCAATAACAAGCATCTATCACGGAAGGGGGAACCCCAAGGGTACATGAACCTAAATAACCACTTGATTAACAGGAATAAGTGCAAAGTTCTACACTTAGTGCAGTGTGGCTGCAAAAAAAGGCAAGTGTTGTTTTAGGTTGCATTAACAGAAGTATAGTTTCAAAATCCCATGAAGTACTAATTCCTCTCTATTCAGTACTGCTTAGGTCTCATCTAGAGTACTATGTCTAATTCTGGACATTGCACTTTAAGAAATATGCCAACAAACTGGAACAACTTCAAGGGAGGAACTACAGGGATGATTAGGGGACTAGAAACCAAGACCTCTGAAGAAAGATGTTTAGCCCTGTGAAAAGAAGACTGGGGGGGGGGAGATATGATAACATTCTTCAAATACTTGAAATATTGTTATTTAGAGGGGGGAAGAATCTGTTCTCAATCATTTTAGCATGCAGGATGTGTAATAATGGGTTCAGGTAATAGGAAGCCAGATCTTGGTTGAATATCAGAGGGAAAAAAACTTCGTAACTGTTCAAGCAGTGCAACAGTGGAACCAATTGCCTTGGGAGGTGGTGAGAGCTTCAAGGTTGGACGCATTCAAGAGAAAATTGAACAACCATTTGTCAGAAGTATTTGGGTTCCTATATTGAACAACCATTTGTCAGAAGTATTTGGATTCCTATACTGAGCAGGGGATTGGACTCCGTGGCCTTACAGGTGGGGATTGGACTCAGTGGCCTTACAGGTCCATTGCAACTTCATTATTCTATGATTCTATGATAAGCCTAGTCAGCTCAAGAAATATTTTTGTTTGTTTGTTTTTGTCCCCTTATATGTTCTAGTTTAGGTTATTTTAAGTTACATGAAGCTAATTGCTGTTGCTAGTCTTTTATCTGATTGGAGGCCTTTCCTTTTCTATGGCTTCATATGTCATAGTATGATGCATTTCTGCTAACTTTCCTTGAGTTTCAAGATACCTCTGCTCTAAGACCTTTTAAAAGAACTCCCCTCCTGCTGCTCTGATTTGTGTAGGAACTGCTAACTATTTCCACTGCAGTGATTGTCTTCTGGAATTAACCCAGGTCTTTTCTCCATAGGTTAATAAAAATGTCAAGTCCTTACATGAACAACCTTATTATCCTTGGAGGGATGCTGTCCTATGCATCCATATTCCTTTTTGGCCTTGATGGATCTTTTGTCTCTGAAAAGACATTTGAAACCCTTTGTACTGTAAGTAATCCATTAACAGAGATGGGTTTTCATGTTCTGCAAAACACAAGACAATTATGCTCTGGTTTTCTGCAAAGGTTCTTAGATTTCTTGTCTGCAGCCACTTGGGCTTTTTGATGTCCAAAAAAGTCTTAGTTTTCCTTTGGAAAGTATGGGACACTGGTATAAATCTTTCATTGAAAAGTTGGGTTTCTAATGCTTGAAATGCAAGTTGGTGTTAAAGGAGGTAACCCTTTTTCTGGTTGCAGACAATGGCCTCCCTCTATCTTCTTAAGAAAGCATTTATGGACTTATCTAGTTCAGGAGCTCTCACTGTTTGATCCCTTGGATATTTGAATGTCAGCTGCCAGAATCTCTGGCCGTTATCCATGCTTGCTGGGGTGACTGGGAGTTAAATCCAAAATATTTAGAGGACAAAAGACTGAGAAAGTCTTTCTTACTTAATTTCAGACCGCTGCCAAATATTATCATATTTGAGTAGCATTTGATTGGGCAATATGCTGAATCTGTGGTGGCCAGGCTTTGGATTTCTTTGTTAAAACATATTTCTCTCATCCTTTTAGTGTCACTTGTGGCCTGGTTTCAGGACTTAGACAACTTTAACTTACCTAGCAAGTTTTTTTAATCTTGAAGCAGATGACATGCGGGATTGTTATATTTCCTTGTTGGGTCTTCTGGTATTTCAAATGGAATTGTCTACCATGGATAAATATACATTTGATTAAAACCCGGAGTATATCAGCATCACGAAGAAGGGGTGCTGCTGGGCAGGTGTAAAGACCCATCTGTCCCTTGCTGCTGTTTCTCAGGGGGGTTGCATAATGCACCTTATTAATGTTAAACCATCTTTAGGATCAAATCTAGCCATTTTGCTTCATTTTGAGCTGTAAATATTTTACATAGTAGCCATTGCACCTAGATGTCAGATGGTTCAAAGATCCCAGTACTTAGTCTTAATACGTAATGGTCCTAATACTAGGTCAGTACGAAGAAAAGCTCGCAGATAGAAAGTTTAGTCATAATAACTTTAAATCTTAAATCATTTTTTAAAAAAGTTTTTTACAGAAGTGTTGAACTAGCATTTGGGTTTCACAGTATTCTTTCTCAGTACCTTAAGACAGTGATAAACAATATACTTTGCAGATTAATTAGATTGTGCCTAAAAGAAAATGACTTACCTTGCAGAAAAGTGTGCTAGGACAAAAGAAGCAATACTGTAGCTGGTCTCTCTTTGAATAACTAAAAGCTAGCATTTATTTGAATGTACATCTATCATGAATCAGAACCCAAGGATCTTTTGTAAGGCAGACAGTAGAAGTGAAAGGGGGGGAGAAATAGACAATTTTTTAGGCTAACACAGCTGGAACATTGCAGATAAAATGCTCGGCATAAAATTAGTAGACACAAAATTAGATAGTATTGCCTAGATGGAAGGCATGATTTATTCCTCTCTGCCCCCACTCATACTTGAGACTTTGGACGTTGCTAGGTACTGAGTGTCTAGTGTCCGTATGAATGGCAGGGTTGATACAGATACAGGTATGGGAGAGATGGCTTGAGAAATGTTTCTAGTAAATGGTACCTATAAAAAGAGTTTCCTGGAAGGCAGTAGTGTGTATCATAGGTCATACATAACCAAGGGCAATAGAAATGACCAAGAAGAGGAGGGGAAGTGACAGGCTGCTAGGAAGGATGTGAAATTTGAAAGGTGTGTCTAAAATGACAGGGCATTTGATCAAGAGATACCTTGCTGGCGTATACCACCCAGCAGTACATGACTTCTGTGTGCTCATGTACCATTAGTGTCATTTTTAAAATATGGGGGGGAAATACATTAAGTGCAAAGTTAAAAGGTTAGACAGCTGAAATGCCGAAGAAAGGGAAGTATCTAAATGCCAAAACAGAGCAGCTGATGCCCTTAGTGGCCTTTACTGTACAAGGGTGACATGAGACTCCGGAAGAATATAGTGAACTCTACAGATTTAAAAGAGGGCCGACCACCAACCTAACAATCAGAAGAAAATGCAAACTTTAAAAATGAGGTAAATATAGTTGATAATTTAAACACGAGGGCCTAGGAAATTAGAAACCCTATACTTTTAAAATGATTGTTATTTAATCGTCTCTGAACTTTAAACGTAGCGTCCAGTGAATTAATGGTTTTTAAAAACTTCTTCTATTTAATGTGCATAGTTAAACACTAGGGAATGAGACTGGGAGTTGCCAGTCTTTGCTCTTTGTCCTTAAAGCATTCTTAGTCTTAACTCAAAGTTCTGCTCTTGAAAGAATGTTCCTGCCCCCTGGTTATATGTACATAAATTTGGAGATACCTGGCTTTACGGAGTAATAACTTTGTTTTCTCAACCGAAGAATTCCTTACAGATAGGATTATCATGGCCCTTTTGGCAAGTCTGCATTGTTTCTAAGGAGAAGAGCTGTTCTGTGCAACATATTACAGTATATGGCTTATGGCTTATCCAAACGCAAGCCACAAGGAGTTTACTTTTCAGCGTACACTTGTAGGATTCCACAGTTAGCAACCTTTACATTCTGTACCAGGAAAATCTAAGTTTTTTTTTTTAAACTGGATATATTGCAAGTGAATTCAGGTGTGAAATTGTGATAGCAACTATAGACCAAAGGGTATGAGTGAGAGGCAAGTTAGCATTAGCATCTATTTAAATGTGGCCAGTCTCCTGTTAGTGCTTGCATAAATTGCAGTAGCTCATTTTGTTAATTAGTTTATCTGTACCAGAAAAAGTGGGTTGCAATCCATGCATTTCAATGGAGTGTCATAGCACAGATACCATGATACATGGAGAGGATGCATAACTAGAAATATTTTTGCATCCACAGCAGCTACCATTTAGAAGGCTATACATTATTCATGTTGTTGTCCCTTGTTAGATTAAAGTTAATATATTTGTTGGGTTTTATTGAAGAATTTCCGAATATGTTGGAATTATATCATGATTATACCTTAGTATTGTTGATTCAGAGGCTGCAGAGTGAGGCGAAATCAGTCAGTGTCAGCTGCATTCCTGTGGCCACTCGTCTGAGAGTACAGTGGGACTTACATTTGAGTAAACCCACACAGGGTGTGATTGTAGGTTTTTTGAGAATGAAGTTTATTTTTGCCTCTTGACTTCCCAGCGTCTTCTTCTTTTCCTCCCTTTGGCACTAATTGTGGTGTTTGGGATTCATTTCCAGACAGTTAGAAATAGTTTCAATTTTCAATTCAATTCAATCAGACCTTTATTGGCATAGACAAGACAACGTATAAAAGGAAAATTAAAACAGGAGTGCAGTTGGCTGGTCTTTGTTGCACAAGGTTATAACATAGTGTAGAAAGGATGCTACGTTCGCAGATACATCCTGTAGAGAGTCACTCAACATAAAATAAACTTTATCAGCTTCAGTTTCAAGCATGAATGACTTGGAAGAAATTGGGCCTCTTTCTGATTAGTCTCAAGATACTTGGCTCAGTGTTTAAAACCCTATTTTTAATTTTAAAATGCCATTGTCTGTTGAAATTACGACATGATAGGCCAAATCCAAAGAGGAGAAAAGTAATGGGATTGCAAATGCTAAAGTGAAAAATACCTCAGCTGAGCTAAAAATAGCTTCTTCAATGTGAACAAAGTTTGCTCCTCAAGAGTGAAACATTTGCTCCTATTAACGTGATTAAGATGATGTTTGTGTTTGATTCTTACTGTTTATCTCTAATGTTCATCTGAAGCCTAGTTTTCTCAATTTAAAACAATACGGCTGGTTCTGATAATGTGCCTGGTGAAAAATTGAGCACAAAAACTACAGTATAAATGCTAATGATGCAGGTTTTTTAAAAAACTGTATCATCAACATTGCCGGTTGAACACTTTGTCCTGCATTACAGATTTTGCTGGGATTAAAAAGCATAAACATTTTCTCTGCTTTACATTCCTATCCTTCCTTGTCTCTTTTATTGTCTATTGTACATCTTTTATTTTGAACAACTCTTCTTTACCTGTTTCTTTACCTGTGTTTTATTTCATCTTCTTAAAGATATTTCTTCTTGCAAACTGAATTAAAATGAGTTGGAATGATGAATTTAACATTGCATTTCAGCTTCGGTTATTTTAATGATATTTTGGAATGTCCAAATTTAACTGAATTGCCAGCACGTTTTATATGCAAAAATACATTACTTTCCACTTGGGATTGTACCTCCTTATGTCATGTCAAATTCATGTGTATATAGTTGATAATTGTGGTTTTTTCAGCTTGTGAAAGCTTGTTTAAACGCGCTGACATTTTTAATATTTCTGAACTGTGGGCTGGTGCTTAAGAACATAAAATTGCTTGGTAAATATAAGAAAAAGTTTGGAGGCAACTGTTTTGATACATAATGTGGAAAATGCTCCAGAATGACTTTCAGATTCACATTATTTCCATTGATGACATGATGTCCAAGTGAATATGAATCAGCTTGGATTCCCCCCCATTTATATTTCTTTTCCTCTGCTGCTGGGTCATTTACTTTTTTTAATTAAATGCTTTCACATCAATACAGGTGTTGTGGTTGATGGAACTGACATGGAAGAGTTTGTAGCCATTGTATTTGAAGCCATTCCAGCCAAAAACAGCAACAGTGAGAGAGACAGGGCAATGGGGAAACTCACTCTTGTTAAATTCTCTCCTTCCCAAACCTGGCAGTTGGGTCTGATTTCCTCTTTGCTTCCCATTCCCTTCCATTTTTTAAAAAAATTCTTTAAAGTCTTGCTGCCTTACTACTAGGGCAGCTAAGTGATGAAAGGGGAGAGGAAAGCAAAATATTGGCAGAGAGGGAGGGGAGAAGTCATCAATCATTATCATTTACGCTTGTTAAGGTAGCTTTGCTCTAACTGTACCTCCTTCAGATTTAGAAGGCCAGAGCTGCTTAACAAGCTGCAAACAAGACTTTTGATTACCAATTTCCTCCCTTCTCTCTGCTTTCTTCTTTGTGGTCAACAGAAGCACATTAACCTGGGAAAATCCTGCTTCTGACTTGACAGTGAATCATCCACATTTTCCCCTCTGTGTAGCCATACTCCTAGTTTCTTTCCTCAACCTAAGACAGATGCTTATTTTTTCTTTGTTTCAGGTTCGGACGTGGATTCTTACAGTTGGCTACACAACTGCATTCGGGGCAATGTTTGCAAAGACATGGAGGGTCCATGCAATTTTCAAAAATGTAAAAATGAAGAAGAAGGTGAGTCTAAAAATAAATTCTATTTTCTCACTTTTCTCTTTTCCCCTCTCCATTTGTTTGGGGGAAGGAAGCTCAAAAACCAAGTAGGTGTAGACACCCAGAATATAAAAAAAAAGTTAACTGTGTTTTAAAAAAAGGCAACAGGCAGATTTAGGAGCATTAATCTACATGTCAAAGTGCAGATTAACACACTTCAGTCTCAGTGTTACTTATTTTCTGGTAGGAAAGTGTACAACATGTAAACTGATGCCTTATTTGCTCATATTTTGTACACATTTTGATTTCTCTCATGCATGAGTTTATATGCTCTCTGTTCCTTAAATGAAAATAAGGAACAATTCTAGATTTTAATTTTTGAAATACTTTTGTAATACTTTATTATTTATTTATTTATTTATTTATTTATTTGTTTATTTATTTATTTATTCATTCATTCATTCATTCATTCATTCATTCATTCATTCATTCATTCATTCATTCATTCATTCATTCATTCATTCATTCATTCATTCATTCATTCATTCATTCATTCATTCATTCATTCATTCATTCATTCATTCATTCATTCATTTATTTATTTATTTATTTATTTATTTATATCCCGCCTATCTGGTCGGTTAAGACCACTCTTCTGTTCCTTTTCAATTTATTAAATGTTTTCCTTCTTTACTTTTCTCTGTTTATTTTTCTTTTAAAGTAGGGAAATCTGTTATGTCATTGAGAGGTGTTTATGGACACATACAGCTGTTTCATCTGATTTGCTGTCCCTATATGTTGGAGGATATCCACATTAACTTATTTTACTTCTTTACCTCTTCAATTCTGAAATAGGGGTCTGGAATAGTATTGCAACTGATGCCACTTGTGGGTGGAAAGGCCCACTTTTAGGTGGCTATGAGGTTGGAAAGCAAGTACCTTGCTAGGAAAAGTTATTTGCTTCAAAACCAGGGCTGGCCCAAAGCATCAAGCTGCCTGAGGCAAAGTACAAGCTGTTACCAACTGTTTTCCATGTACAGAAACCAATTAGATTGGCTGTTGAACTTTACTTCCACAGTAACATCGGGGGGGGGGGCATCAGAACAGTTTATATGGTGCAAGCCTGCTGTTTCGCACCTGCAACACTATCGTTTAGACAGAAGGAAATAGTTCTCTTTCCCTAGAAAGAGAAATGAGCATTAAGCAAAAGAGGAAACTCTGGAGGGTTGTCAACCACTAATGCTCCTCCCCATTGCTTGCCATTTGCACCATCTCGGTGGGAAGGTAAAATAGCATTCCCTAGTCACGTTGGCCACGTGGCAACAGAAACTGTCTTCGGACAAGCGCTGGCTCTACGGCTTGAAAACGGGATGAACACCGCCCACTAGAGTTGGACATGGCTGGACTAAAAATGTCAAGGGGAACCTTTACCTTTAATGAGTGTTTTGCTTCTACATGGACTTGTTGACACATGGTCTATGTCTTAGTTTGCTATTTGAAGTCTGTCAACAAGTATCTTGGCAGACAACCTGCTGCACACAGCCTGATCATTCTCACTTGGTTTCTTTCATCAGTGGGAGTGGTTTAGGATTACATCTGTAGAGAGGACCCAAAAAAGCCAGGAACTATAAGATAATGATAAACAATAGTTTCTACTCCTGGTTTGTTGACAGAGCAATAAGCCAGGATTTCCAGTTTGTATATACTACTAAGTAATGAGTATGCAGTCTGCAGGGGCGCCAGGGACCCCAGACATGCATCCATTAGTGCCTTTACCTATCATGGTGGAGATCAGGCATGTGATCTGATAAATAGTCAAGAGATAAAAGGAACAACAGGGAAGTTTGGCCTTGGAATTCAAAATGAAGCAGGGCAAAGGCTAATTGAGTTTTGTTAGGAGAACAAGCTGGTCATCACAAACACGCTTTTCCAACAACACAGGAGGTGACTCTACACTTGGACATCACCAGATGGGCAATACCAAAATCAGATTGATTATTCTATATTCTCTGCAGCCAAAGATGGAGAAGCTCTATACAGTCAGCAAAAACAAGACCTGGAGCTGATTGTGGCTCTGATCATCAACTTCTTATAGCAAAACTCAAATTGAAACTGAAGAAAGTAGGAAAAACCACTGGGCTGGTCAGGTATAATCTAAACCAAATCCCTTATGAATACATAGTGGAAGTAAAGAACAGATTTAAGGAACTAGATTTGGTGGACAGTGCCTGAAGAACTTTGGATAGAGGCTCGTAGCATTGTCCAGGAGGCAGCAACAAAAACCATCCCAAAGAAAAGGAAATGCAAGAAAGCAAAGTGGCTGTCCGATGAGGCCTTACAAATAGCAGAGAAGAGAAGGGAAACAATATGCAAGGGAGATAGGGAAAGTTACAGAAAACTGAATGCAGACTTCCAAAGAATAGCAAGGAGAGACAAGAGGGCCTTCTTAAATGAACAGTGCACAGAAATAGAGGAAAATAATAGAAAGAGAAAAAACAGAGATCTGTTGAAGAAAATTGGAAATGTTAAAGGAACATTTCATGCAAAGATGGACATGATAAAGGACAAAAATGGTAGGGACCTAATAGAAGCAGAAGACATCAAGAAGAGGGGTCAAAAATACACAGAGGATTTATACCAGAAAGATCTGGATGTCCCGGACAATCCAGATACAGTGGTGCCTCAACTTACGACCATAATCCATTCCAGAAGATGAACAACTCAAAATGGTCATAAATCGAAGCACCATTTTCCATAGGAATGCATTGGAACGGGATTAATCCGTTCCAGCAGAAAAAAAATCACAACGGAAGGCGAAGGGGCTGAAAAACAAATCAAAAAAGCACCCACACACACACACGGTCAGCCCCATCGGAAGGCAATGGGGCTGAAAAACAAAGCAAAACACACACAGAGAGGCACCACAGTCAGCGCTGGACCCAGAGAGAAACATGCAGAGTCCAGTTCCTGCTGTGAAGCTAAGCAGAGGGTCTCTTAAGCATGTGATGGGCCTTCACAGGACTGGAGTCCATTCCAGATGTCTCAAGGATATCCTGAAAGATTAATTGGAATTAACACAGTCCTTACACAACTTGATTTGACTAAGGATGGGAATAGACAGCGAGATGATATTATATCTAATTACACCTGAAATAATTGCTTTGGTCTGAGTGATCATTAGTCTTAAAGCAGCTCTTCCATCCATGAAGGAATCACTCCAGCCAGGCTCCCAAAAAAAGGGTAGGTACAGATTGGGCATGGTTTGAGGTCAGGGCTGGATCATATTACCCATGTGTTGTTTGATCACTGGGAAATAGTTCACACCAGACAGTGCCACAAGCAGACCAAAATGTAATCTATTTCCCCATCTGATCACACCCTGACTTCTATTTTAAAAAGTTAAAGGTTCCCCTTGACATTTAGTCCATTTGTGTCTGACTCTAGGGCTTTAGCACTCTAGTGCTCATCCCCATTTCCAAGCCATAGAGCGAGTGTTTTGTCTGTACACAGTTTCTGTGGTCACATGGCCAGCGTGACTAGATACGGAATGCGGTTACTTTCCCACCGTTAAGGTACCTGTTTATCTACTCCTGTTTTACATGCTTTCGAACTGCTAAGTTGGCAGGAGCTGGGACAAGCGACGGGAGCTCACTCCGTCGCATGGATTCGATCATATGACTGCTGGTCTTTCGACCTTGCAGCACAGAGGATTCTGCTGTTTAACCCACAGCACCACCACATCCCGCTAACTTCTCTTTTGCCCCCCCTTCTAAATATTCTGTGCAGAGGTAACAATCGACATGGTCAAGACTCAGTTTCTACAGTTTGTATTAGCAGAACAAAACAATGCTGTTTTTTCCCTTAAATACAAGATCAGATGTTTTTTATTGTGTGTGTGTGTGTGTGTGTGAGAGAGAGAGAGAGAGAGAGAGAGAGAGTCACATGGTTGATTTTGTAGGGGTAAAAATGCCATTGCTTCATAAAATGAACACCACCAAATGTACTATTAAAAGGCCATCTGTTGAAAATGAACCAACATATGGCAATTTATATTGCATTTTCCCCAGCATTGCAGTTTACTTTATAATAAGAAAAATATGAACCTGCTGCTTCAGATTATGATAACATCATAATAATGATAATAATAATTTGCTTGGTTAGCGAAAGGTGTGTTTTAATTTCAGGAGCAATGCGTAATGTCAAATTACAGTACTTATTTTTCTTTAATATAATGTTGAATGCTGTAATGTTTTGATAATCAACATTTTATTATCAAGTTGATAAGATGAGTTGAATCAAGATGGATATTATAATTCCATAAATGCTTATCTGGGAGTATATCCAACTGAAATTCCATTTGGGTTAGTGAGTCTTACTTCTGAGTAGCCATGTATAGGATTGTGCTGTAGATTAATTGCATTTAGTTCAGGATAAAAACAATGGAATAATAAAGGACATCATGCTGAACTAATCCCATTAATTTTAGTGGGACCTAGCAATTTACTCTACGTAGTCCATATTCTAAATTCTATCTATGAAATGGGATTAAGGCAGAAAATAAGGCAAAAATAGGCAACCTGTGGCCCGGGTCTTAGTTGTACATATAATCTTAGCGTGACTTCAAAAGCCATCAGCAAATGAACAGTCTGTATCAGTGGCAGGGATGAACTGTCCCCTCCCTTCATGACTGAATTGTCCCTCCTGTTCAGTCAGGGAAAAAGAAGTGTAGGGGAGGGGGAGAGAAGGTGGGAGGCAGGGAGAAAGAGAGGATAGTGTGACAGAAAGGTAGATCTAGCCACCAGTAATTCTCACTTCTTAAAAGAGTCAGAGAAAAAGCAAAGCAAAATGGAAATAAACAAAAGACAAAAACCCTGTGACTTTTTTTGTCCCTTGGTCTTTTTTGTTTTCGTTTTACTTTGTTCTTCTGTCTGATATGTAAGCTTGCACAGACTAACATGGCTATTCCATCAAAAAGTGCAACTCTTAAGATAGGAATGTGTGCCTCAATAGATTAATGTGCTGTTACACATTGAAATACTGCTAGGTTTGCATCGGGATTAGCATGCTTGAAATCTGTTTTAAAGTATGTGCTTTAAAAAGTGTCTGATGAGGACATAAATGGTAAACTAAGTAGTCGAGACTTTCCCAAACTTGATGCCCTCCCTAACTCTTGCTCCTTCTCTCCATAATTGCATTCTTTACCCAATAGTCAATGTTAATGTGAACAAAATGACTTCAGAACATGGAGGCTCCTTTTCTGATCAGTCTTGCGAAGTTGCCTGTGTTATTGATAACAGCAATGGTGGCAAAAAATACCTATCCATATGTCATTCAATAGTACCCATAACTAGGCAAAGCTATATGAAACACAGCACGACAGTCCTGAATGTGGTCTAATGAAATAATCATAAGAACTGAAATAATAATTCTACCCAGATGTACCATTGTAACGAGAGTCAGACCTCAAGGGATCACTTAAGAAGTGTGTTCTCACCTCCCCCTAGACTCTCTTCTAGATGGAAACAAATTTTCTTTGCTAGTCAAAAGTCCACCCTCCTATGCCAAAATAACCCTCCTTGTTTCTTGTACTTAAGGATGTTTGGGTAAACTTGAGCATACGCTGCTACCATATATTGATCCACCTATTCACTATTGAGTAGACAATACTTAGGCTTCATATTGTCTACTTATACTTGCAGTGGCAATTCAGGGATTCCATCAAAAATCTTTTCAAACCTACCTTGAGATACCAGGGTTTGACATGTTCAGTCTGGGATCTTCTGCATGTAAAACATGTATTTTATTAGTGAGTAAACTTATTTCCCTACTTTGCATGTAACTGTTGGTGTCCTACTCTTATGCAGTTTGCTGAATTAAAGAGCATCTGAATATCGCCAGGATTCATTTCTAATAACCAGAACCTGTTCGTTCCCTTTCCTGGGATAGCTTCTATAACATCAGTGAGCACTGTTCGTAGCCCAGTTTTTGTTGTGTTGTTGTTGTTTTGCTTCTAATACAACAATGTATTTTCCTTAGGTTTCCAGGCCTAGCTAACTGTGCTGTAATCCCATGTGTGTGCTCTCTTCCTTCCCACTTGCATTGCATTCCAGTGAGTTTAGCAACTGACTTTGACAATCCAAATCTTCCCGAGAGGTCCTACTAGTCTAGAAAACTGTCCAGCGCTTTTTCTAAACAAGAGAAGGACTCCCTGCTTGAGGTTTAGCTGTCTCTCCCAATTGACTGTTCTGGACCAGTTTCTTGTAGCCAGGATTAGGAAGTAGGGGGAAAAGTTAAATCAACTTTGTGAGCAAAATTCTTCCATGTGCTTAACATACTACTACCACTACACATTTCTCCCTCTGGAATATGGAATATGCAGTACAGGAACTATTGTTTCTCAAAGAGTTGGATTTCTGGTAGTTCTAATATCTGTAGTCTATAGTCTTATTCGGGCATTTTTTTAATCTGTGTACAAAGTTCATGCATAAAGGGAAGCACTCTAGCCTCATCCCCTCCGTAGTCAGTTCCTACATTGATTGCCAGGGGTGTGTGTGCGGCGGAGTTCAGGAATCAAAAGAGATTGCGTTTCCACACTCTGTGGAAAATCAGGTTTCTGACAAATTATGTGGGGTGGGAAATGTTCAGATCCTTAAATTTTCTTAAGTCAAAAGCTACATTACTTGTGCTACATTACTGTTACAAGATTAATGCTTGTTGTGTGATTATTCTATTAAGTATGTGAGAGAGTACATAAATGTTTTACTGGATTGTAAAAAGGAGGATGGGTTCAAAGAAAATCACAAATACACATAACAACATTTTTTTTAAAAAATAATCTTATACATTTACCTTGTGCAGGTCAAATCAAACCAAAAGTAAAACTGATGAAATTTTGTTTCACTTTCAGTTAATTCATTAGTGTGTAATTTCTTTTCTTGAGCTTTCTCTTTTTTTTCACAATAACTGTAAGTTTCTCATTGCTGTATCACACAGATTCTTCAGTTACAAGGCAAGAATGCCTTGGCAGCTGAGGCTAAGGGGGGGTTGCTCAAGGTTACAGAGTAAACTTCATGAGTGATAGGGATTTGAATTGAGGTCCCCTCATTTTGATAATTTAACCTCCATATTAAATACTTCATTTCAAATACTTAGGAGCTGTTGGGACATTTTAAAAAAAGTTTTGTGAATATATGTGAAATAAAATTGTGAAATTAGATCACACTCTGCTTAGAGCACTGGAAATTTTTCCAAACATTTTTCCATAACAATTTTTTTCCAGAAAACCCACCAGCTCACGTGGAGAGAATTCACAGACAATGGCAGAAACTGTCAAAAAGGAACATTTTCTAGAGCCCAGACACTTAGAAACCTTATCACAAGCACAGCAGTATTATTCTTTCTACTGGAGTTGAGTACAGTATCTCTAATGATTCATATCAGATGGGATTTCCAGAGGAATAGCAGTGTTAGTTATGTGGAAACAGAACAAGCCACAAAAACAATGAAGTCTTCTATGCCTTGAAGACTAGCAAGTTTTATGTGGCACAAGCTTTGCTGGATTACTTCTTCAGATGCAACATCATGAATTGTATTTGCCCCTTCCCACTGCATGTGAAGAAGCAGCCTATAATACATGAAAGCCAATGCCAAATAAAACGTGTTAGTCCTTAAGGCACCAGAACAGAACAAGCCACAAAAACAATGAAGTCTTCTATGCCTTGAAGACTAGCAAGTTTTATGTGGCACAAGCTTTGCTGGATTACTTCTTCAGATGCAACATCATGAATTGTATTTGCCCCTTCCCACTGCATGTGAAGAAGCAGCCTATAATACATGAAAGCCAATGCCAAATAAAACTTGTTAGTCCTTAAGGCACCAAAAGATTTCTTGGTGGTTCTAGTTAGTAACCAGAAGTCTCAAATGAGGATATGTGTTCTTTGTTGGTTTCACTGCTACAGGAAATGCAGTGAACGTTATATTGCAAGTGGTTGGCACAAGGGGAGAGTTATCTTCCATCCTTTGGCTTTGTACATGATGCCAAGACTTTGAGTGAGGTGGAGGAGTGGTTACTTTCAAAAACTGAAGGCCATCCTTTAGTTCATGGAGATGGAGATGGACAATGTCACTGTATATTTTCTGCCATTCAGCTACTGCTGCTTGTAATAAAAAAACTTACTGTGAGTTATCTGAAACATGTAGCTCCTGCCAAGATTTTGTAAGGAAGCTGAACTGCTATAATTTCTGGCAGAAACAGTAACAAATGTGTTTAAGCATGAATAAGATTATAAGCAGCGTCTTTGGGTTGGGGGCTGTGCGTATGTGCAGAATATTTTAAAATATTATTTCTTCTTCCATCGTCTTTATTCTGCTTGATTTAGATATTTGTGCTGTTCAGACAATGTAGACGAGCAGGACACCAAGCAAATGTAGCTTGCAAGATGATCTTTTCTTTTCTCCTAGTATCACATAGATATTTTCTATGCACAATTAAAAAGCCTTGTTAGCAGTGGCATATAACTTTCTTTAGGGCACTTAAGAAAGGCTCAACAGAAATCACAGACTTCTATGGGAATGGCCTCCAATTCTCTCTTCTTTCTTTCCCTAGATCATTAAAGACCAAAAACTGATGGTGATAGTAGGAGGGATGCTGCTGATAGATCTTTGCATCTTGATTTGCTGGCAAGTTGTTGACCCGTTAAAGAGGACAGTGGAAAAATACAATATGGAGGTATGTCATTGCAACTGCTACTACCTTCCCATTTGTTGATGGGGATTATGATGCAAGGCAATGAATGACAATCCTTTAGAAAAGTTCAGGCATGGGGGGGTTTTTTTAGTGTACTATACAGGAAAAAAATACTCATGGCAAAAGAAAATGCATCTGCAGTCTAAAAACAGCCCTACGTCTTTGCCATCCTTAAGAGGCTTTAGATGCAGTAATATTGTAAACACTGGGGAACTGTCTGCTAACGGTATATAGGAGACAGTGTTGTAATAAATAATAGATTTTTAGACTCCATTAGCAGAATTCATGGGGAACTGATTCAAGATAGATACAAAATAAAGACTTAAAATAGAATAGTTATCTGTTCAAACCACCACTATGTCCACACCTCCGCTCCCATGGCTCTTTTGGATTTTAAGGTATTGTAATGCCAGTATATGTTATTTTACAGTTCATGATTATAATGTCATTCTAAAAAAAAGGTCAGTTTTGAAATACAAAGGCCAAGGATGACAGAATGCACAGCATTCTCTTTGTCTGATCAGTCTCTCCAGTTGTGTATAATAGCTTTAAAAAAAGAATATATGGGGAATAGAATACCTTGGAAACAGAAGAAACTGCCATGTTGTTTAGCAAAAGCGTTCTCTGTGTGCAATTGCTGAATGTCTGAATTATTTGCACCAAAGTGAAATACTTGATAAATAGATTTAAAATGGAATTTGTGTTGTATCCTACTGATAATAGAACAGTTGTTTGAGGGGTTTTAAAAATTAGTGTGAATTCCACCTAACTATGCTTCCTGCTTCCTCTGATGTAGCATATTGTATTTCCTGTTGTGCAGCAACAAAAGTTGAAGTGTATTTGATTTATATAGCAGAACATTCATTGGAATAGGAGCATTTTCTAAGATCTGGAACATTTCTGCCTAGGTTTTGAAAAACTCCAGTAATTGTAGTGGGAGATGATGGCTGTTTCAACACTTGTAAGAGGCCGTGACACAATCTGAGAATCTACACAATGTTCTTTGAGTGACAGCTCATATTGTTGACTTGAGAAACTGGATGAAAGATGTGCAATACTATTTCAAATAATTTTCTAGAGTTGAAAGGGAAGTCAAATACTTTCTATGAATTGTATTTGCCTGTGCTAGCTGCATGCCAGATTGCAATCATACCTCTATTTTTCTGACTCAGAGATGGTCAAGTACTGCAATTCTTGTGGATCACTTCTCCAGACAGTGGTCAAGGATGCCTTTACCATAGAAACAGACTTCCCAGTTTGATCAATCTGTGCAATAATGTTAACAGCACCTAACAACAAGGATCGCAAATTGTTGGAATGCATACACCGCAGGGATAGCTGGCACATTATGTACAAATCTTCAAGAAGGGTTTAACATTGAAATGTGGACTACACCTTCCTCCTATAGCTTGAAACCTCATTTTGTTTTTCTCATGTGTGCAAACCTGGACAGTTGTTTCTCCACGGTGGGCCAGATAAAATGTGATCATCGCTCCATAGCAGAGGAATACACTATATAGGCAGAAAATGGGAAGATCTCTGCCAGGGATCTTGCAAAGCCACCGCCTATATCAGTGGACTCCATCTAGGCTAGACCAGCCCAACATCTGACCCCCCCATATCTTCCATTCATGCATCTGGGAACAGGTTTCTTTAATTGATACACCTGGCCTGTCAGCTACCAGATGGCCATCCTGCTCTAAATATACTGTACCTCCAAGCTAATAAGCCTCAGAAACCTTTCAGCTCTTATTATGATCAAGATCTTCCAGAATTTCTAATTTTCAAAATTTTTCAAAACTTTAATATTTGACATAGGACATAGGTTACTGTTTTCATTACAAAGAAGAGAAAAAGGACAGATTAACAACTGTTTATTCAAGATCATCCAATATATTCATGATGACTTAGTAGAGATTCTGTCCTTCATTACAATGATACTGGGGATGTTTTTAAATTTATTCTTTTTGGTAGGAGTTCCCATATGTCAGTTGATTTTGGAGCATAGTGGTCTTGTGGTCCTTTAGATTTCAAAGGAGACAGCTTTTCTTATAACACCCATTACAATAGATATCTTGCCATTTATTGTGTTTATATTTAGAGGCAGTGGTAGACCTACATTTTCAGGGCTCTGAAACTAGAAGTATTATGGGGATCCCTTCACAACCAGCAATGAAGTCTGGGTAACTGGTATTATCCTCTTCAATGGGGATGTTCCACCACAGATTACCACATTTTAAAAAAAGGACTAAAGTTGCTTCTGGGCCCCTCCAGTATTTGGGGCCCTGACGCTCAAGCTTCATTAGTTCCAGAGTAAATCTGCCCCTGTTTGCAAGAGTCCCACACTAGCAATCATCGTGTGTAGATACAATATTGTCCAACTGCTTGTACAGTAAAATGAAGGATTCTGAGTTGGTTTCTGTGGGGCAGCATCACTTCTCCACCAGGGAAGATGGACCCAAAATAAAACAAGCTAATTAGCCCAGAAGTCACACTTCCAAGAAACAGACAGAGCTAATGAAAACAAAGTGTGCCTTGAAAGATGCCCAGATTACTGATTTATCTTGAAGTGATGGAGTTATGCAATCATGCATTTTTGGACTGTTCAGATTGTACTACTGCATAGATCACAGACTACTATGCTAGTACTTTTCAAAATACGATCTGGGAAACCTTGAGTTGTTTTTGAGATTCTACAAGTAAAGCAGCAGTAAAAGTAGGCAAGCTTCTCTGAAAGATGAGCACAGCCACCATGGCTGTTTTGACTGCAACTGCAGAAGTGTTATCATGTTTTAGAGGTGCATTCTTAGTTCTTGCAGAGCAACAGTGAAAACTGGCAGGCTTGGTCCGTGTTCCCTTTGAATTGACTGTGCACCCCTTCCCAGGACACATGTACAATCCTTTACAGTACAGTGGTTCCATGCCATACATTAAGTTACAAAAGGCTTCATGATGTAGGAAGCAGGAAGAGCTATTCACAGTAGTAGCTAAATGTAATGGAAATTATCAGTGTGGAATGAAAACAACTGTCCTGTATTTAATTTACATGTTTGTACCATTAAAGGATTTATAGTTTATATCTAGTGAATCACTGGACGAGAGGTGTGCAACAGAAGTGGTAGTGAAATTCTGACTTTGGTGATTCCAAACTGGATGAGTTTGGGAGTTACCTTCCAACTCTGTGATAACATGAGCTATATGTGAGACATGTGGTGGGCAGAATTAAAATTCTTCAAGCTGTTTTAAATTGTTTGAATTATTTTTAAATTCTATTTGCTTTTAAAAGATATTGTGTACAACATACAGATCATTTTGTAGAAAATGATACAGGACTAAAAAACAAAACAGATTAGCCATGCATTTCACTGCCAAGTCTATTTTTGCTAAATTATTATACTCAATATGTATTTCTACTTCTTCTAGAACCACACCACCACCACATGGCCAATATTATGGGGATTCTGGAAGTTGTAGTACCAAAAAAAAAATAATCAAAATCTAAGCACTGAATAAAGTACTGCATCTTTTATTGATGAGAAATTAGCATAGTTCTCAACTTGATGGTCAGTGATTCTTTTCTGGAGTAACTTTTGCTTGCTGGATGATCTGCCCTTTGTTATTGTCTGCTGGGTGTCTTAGTTTATGTTTCACTTTGCACTTCTTGTCTTCTTTGGAGGAGTTAATATTCTATATTATTTGAGAGTAACCTTTTTGTCAGTGACAGCCCTCTTCATCTTAACAGAGGGTATTGTGCTTCTCAGAAGACACTTTTGCAGTTTCTTAGTTGTTTAAAAACTTATGAAGATGAATTCCCTGAGGTAAGATCCCATGTGGTGCCAGATGTCCTATTCAACATAAGGCTGGGAAAATACTCCCACTAAGTTGCAGAATGGATTTGTACCACCTACAAATAACTATGTAAAGACCAGTTGTGATGAGCAGCAGAAAAGGAAAAGATTCTGTGTTAGAATGTACCATAATATGCAGGATAAAACTGGGAAATACAGTAAGTGATGCAACATATTCTATGCATAAACATCAAGTGTATCTACAGTAGAGCTACTGACAGGAAAGAAGATTTGACAAAAAATCTAGTTAAGCTACAGTGTAGTAAGCTTAAGGTCATATCTGATATGCAGGTATGGGTTGTTGTTATTTTGAGAAGGAACATGTTTGCATTCCTAAGTTTTCCATGATCTGAAAACTTTTCATCTTATACAAGGCACACAATCCTATGTATGCCTCCTCAAAGGTAATCACTTTGATTTCAATGAGCTTATTCCCAGGGAAGACAGTCAAAGACTGCAGTTTAACATTAGTTGACCACAGCTGCCTACTGCAAATCTTCATAACAGAGCACCAAGGTGTGCATATTGTTTTTCATGAATTATAAAACAGAACATTAAAACAAAACACTCAGGGTTTGAAAAGGTAATGTGTAATAGATAAGTATTGGTAGTTTCCAAAGACATAGCTGAACTATTCTCTTGCAATATATATTATAAAAATAACAGCATGGTTCCGAAACAAATTTCTTGGTCTTAAAGTTGTCACGATACTTCTGTTTTTGTTTTGTGTTTGCTCTTTCTTTCCTCATATCATAATGTTCCCCAATTTAAATTTATGGATGTATATTAAATATAGGTAAAATTAAAAGCAAATTAAAATGTTGAGATAATTTGACTGTTTATTGACCAGAAGTGGGTTACTTCAATAACATTTTCTCAGCCATTTGCTAGATCATCTTTCGTACATGTGGTGGGGCATAAATTGTGTGACATAAGTACTGCATTGATTGAATTTCTCCACCGCCACAGAAAATTTGTCCTGTATTCAAGTAGCACCATTTTACTCAATTATTCTTTGATATTCCTACTTTGCTTCAAAGTCTATTAAGTGACTTCCAGATGGCCCAGCGTCAATATGTTATACATATTGAAGGTGAGTCATTGCATATAAATGTTCACTTTAAGAACTCCTGG